TGGTGGGCGTATAATATATGAGCACACTTTAAGACTGCCTCAACTCCTATCTCAAGGCAAGGTCAAGCAACCAGTCGGGAGGGGCAAAGGCAGATTGGGGGGAAGGTATAAAACACTAAAAGGCCAAAGAAATGCCTGCTCCTGATCATAGCACAACCTCACTCCTTACCCCTCCCATGGGGTACAAAAGGGGTGGGACAAAGACCCCAGACCCACAACCTCCAAAAACGGAACATGACCATAAGCGATGGGACTGTGGGCATGCATTTCAGATATAATTATGCCTGCTCAGGAAGGGGGGATGGGACACTGGGAAACCAGGCTCTGCAGCATCAGAGTTATGGTATACATGCTTGCTGGAAACTAACCCCAATAAACATTGCATTGCCTGCACTTCGCACTTCTGCTTTCTGTCTGCATGACAAGAACCAGGGGAGAGGGTGAAGGGAAAGCCCTCTAACACTCTGCACTTGCCACGCCGAGATCTCCGCAGAGTGATGAACTCACCCGAGGCAGTCCCCTCCTCTGACAAACGAGTCGTAGGAAGTGTGGCCAGAAGTGGCCTCAAATGGCTGAGGGCCTCGCTCTGTGGGTGCCTAGTTGGCAGGTAGGGCCCTCAACTGGGAAGTGGGAGACCCAAGTTCAAGTGATTCAGTACAGAGATTTGAGCCTGGGTCTCGCACATCCCAGGGGGAGGGACTGAACCTGGTGGCTAGGCTGGGGTTGCACTCGCGCCACCTGTGAAACCTTCTCAAGGGCATTTCCGTTGAACCTGATACGTTCCTGCGCAACGTTTTGGTTCCGACAAAAGGGCATTTTCCGATGGAAAAAGTTTTGTGGCGCATTTTTTGATCAGCGTCCCCGTGTCAGACCCGCAAAGCCTGGCTTTCGCGTTCGTCAGCGGGAGAAGTGGCTGCTCAGCACCCTGTGAAATGTTGGCCATAGCCACTTTGCCACACCAGTGGCAAAGCCAAGAACAGAACCCAAGAGTTTGGATCCCCAGCCCGGAGTCCTTGTCACAGACCCAGCAGCTCCACCCTGACACGCTGGGTCCCAGCTCTAGGTGCGAGAGGGCCATTCACGCTTCATGGGCCATTCAGTCGCTGGCCCCTCTGCTGCGACTGCCAACCAGGGGGCCAGTCCGTGTGATTTGTGTGTGTGTCATGGACATGTGGCCACAGCCTGACAAACAACTCACCGCTGGCACTAGTTAACCCTCTTGCTGGCATGTAAACACCCCTCCCTCTCAGCCCTAGACATGGCCCCCCAGCTCAGGGGAGGTGAGGGGGGACTGGGGAGGAAGGCTGCCTGGCTGCATGGTTTTCTTATCTACCTGCTTTTTGACCCAAATTGGTCCCAGAACAGAGGTGCTCCAGCACTCATAGTCCCCCATGTCCATGAACAACTCTAGAAGTCCAGCTCCTAGCACCCTAGAATCCTGGGCACTTCTGGGTCCCAACCCTGCGACTCAGGCCTATCTCTACATTACCCTAATATTTACATTTTTGTCCTCGCCCCTTCTAGGCTGTGTCTTACCAGGGTTCAGACCTTGCACCACTTCCTGACCAATCCCGTTCACTTTACGAGTCAAAAGGTGACTCTTGATTGCAACAGCTGGGGATGCTAACTCCACCTGGGATACACAAATCCAGCTGTTTGCTCTCTGCCTCAGACAGCAAACACAGGCAATAAAGATCTTTCGGTTGGGTCGGAGCTGATAAGGCTGTTCACAATGCACCGGGCAGAAGGGAATCCAGCTATTTTAGCTCTGCAGAGCTAAAAGAAGCAACCATTTGGGATTTGTCAGTAACGCAGCAACTCTGACTACAAGACACACTGGGCGCCGATCTATGGCATACACAGAGGCCCTTTTGGCTCTGTCTTGCCTACAACCACATTTTAAGACTGAGCATCCACCAGGAGACATGATGCCAAGGCAGTGACGGCAGAGGTTGAAAGACCACGGTGGGAAACTTCCTTAGTTGCATTTGTCATCAAACTATGCAGTGACAGAGCTGGGCAACACTCTTCAGATTATTCAGCCCCAGCACCCAAGATCTCTGCAAGATCAACGTAGTCTTGACCCCCTGCCGCAAATGGGATCTTCAGTGGCATGAATCCCACCTGGGTTTTAACACATCCATCTCGGAGTGCTTCCAGTGATGGTTTAAGCTGTCACCGGCAATGAATGGTCTCCTGTGTTGCTGGTAACTTTCCCCTAGACACTCCTACCTGCAGAGTGGCGGACTGTGTGGCCTATTCACTCAGCTGTTCTCACTGTTGTGGGCAGTATCGTTACTCTGGCAGCTGGGAATTCTGCGCTGATGTGAAATGTAACTGGGTCCAGTCGAGCTCTGCTGGAGTGTGGCTACAAGCCCCAGCCTGGTGGCTCGCTCTCCCTGTAGTCTGAGCTGGACACGGTGTTCTTCTCCACTTCCTCTCTTAAAATTGCTGCGGAGTGGTAAACACCCGTCAGAGGTGGCTGTGTTTCAGTGGTGGGGGAAAGGGCTTCCTGCAGAGACAGTTTGTCGAGCACTTTGGGATCCTCTGGGATGAAAGGAGGTATAGAAATTATGTGATAATAAATGCTACGTATAGCAGTGTACTGTCAGGGATGGAAGAGACACAAAGAATTCAGGTTGGGGGGAGCCTCAGACAGAGACACACACAGAAAGACGCTTTCTCAACCTGCTGCTTGTTTGCAAATAATCTATTCCCCCACCGCCTATCTGAGCAATGTCTCAGTGCATCCAACTGATGAGCAAGGAACAATGCTTAGTGCTGTTCAGACCCGAGAAACACCGCCAGGAAAAGCCACCTTTTACGCATTTTTTTAACCATTAGCCAACTTGCCATCCCCACATAACACCCCTCCCTTCCCCAACCCCTTTGGGCCGAATCCTCCTCCTTTCCCCCCAAAACCAGCCATCAAATCCCCTACGCCCCTGAACTGAAAGTGGAGACATATCGCACAGCCCCCATCTGTGTCACCACAGATTCTGACTTTCTAATGCTCTGTCAAGGGTCATTTGGGTCCCCCCCGCCAGTTCTGCTGCTGGCCTGTAGTACCTGGCTGAACAGAGTAGGGGTGCTCTACCAGGCCCTGGGGCTTGTATTTGGCTCTTGAGACTGCTCTCCCTCCTTTGTCACCCTCCACCCCCCCTTAGTAGCAACTCCCCCAATATTTTGACTTAACCCAGAATGCTGCTATTTTCAAATACTTCCCCGGCTGTAACAAGCTCAGCCTCTCCTCGGGGGTATTTTAATTTATACAAAAGTATCATATCTTATCACGATCAGCCTCTGATTCAGTTGCTCTTCAGTATTAAAAAGCCAGAAAGGGAATAAATTCAGCGAACGTAAAAATTAATGTGGAACGATGGGATCTTTCATCTGGCATTTCCAAGCACAGTTTTTGCAATGGGCTTATGTAATCAGACATAATTATCTGCACATGTTCAGTTGCATTACTTCACAAAGCCGCCTGGCTCTGCCTCGTGACGTCAGGTCTCTGTGCTAAGCCTTAATGTCCCTTTTTCTCAGCACAGCTGAATTAAAAGGAAGGTAAAAGCAATGAGCCAAGCCTTCCGCCACATCTCTCTCCATGCGTGGTGGCGTTCTCTCTCTACACCCCTGCTTTGGTGGATTTTATTTATTTATTTTGGCCATCCCAATGACTCGCAGGTCTTGATTTGCTGCCTAACGCTAGGAAATCTCTAATTTCAGCCGGTGTTTGGCTCCATAAAGGAAACACAAGGGGGATCAAAGCAAGGGGCTTTCCTTCGCGCGAGCTGGTTGCAGACTGAGAGAACGGAGATGGCTGGATGCCACGTCCCACTTGAGCACCCCAACGTTTGGGTTTGAAAGCCCTTCTGTGTGCAGCTTCACAAAATGGAGAGAAAGCAAGCGAGCCCAAGGAGGCTGTTTTATTGCTTCCACTCATATCATATCTTGTTCCCAGTGCCTTTGTTTCAAAATGACATGAACTCATGGTGAATGCCTAGCGGGGCCAAGGGTGTCCTGCCCATTCCCCCAATGAAGGTGGCTAGTTTGGAACAGATCCCCTTGGGTGGGCTGTGTATGGATCTGGAAGGCTATCTGGAGAGACAGGAAGGGGTCTAAACCCTTCACCTCTCCTCTGCCCCCACCGCCAATGGATTCCTTTGCTCTCCCTCCCTCTTTTCCCAAGTCAGATACACCAAAAACAAAACTACATTGCAAACATGTTTCCCTCTTCGTGACCTCTAAAAGGGCCAGAGAAAAACAAAACAACCACTCCTCGAGAACAGCCTCCTTTTCCAGGCTGCCCTCTTGTCCCCGCTTGCTGTCACTGCCGCTGAGATGGCGGACGATTGATCTGAGAAATGAAGTTGGATTGCTGTCCCGAATCTACACTCGGTTCTCCTTGTGTCTGTCTGATCGATTTCACTCTGTACGACACAGCTTGTCGCTATGAATTTTCATGCTACTCGGGAGCCGCCAGCGCACCCAAGAACAAGTAGAAGATGTTTTTTACCCTCCCCCCCTTTTTTATCATCATCATCATCATTGTTTTTTGGCTTTAGACACCAACTAGGGGAAGGGTTATTTTTAGACCATGGCTCTGTCCATGATGGGCTCTGTCCATTGGCCTCCTTGTGGAGATTTCAAGGGCTGGCTCGTGGTGACATTCCCTACCACTGTTCTACTAGGTGTCACCTGTTTAGCAGCTCCTCTCAGCTGAACGCATGTGGCCGCAGGTGCCTTGCAAACGCTGATCGTGTCTGACAGGCCTAGACGCCAGCTGCCTGCATGAAGCCTGCCCAATCGCCACTTTTTGTGGGCAGAACTCTGCCGTTGGCGTGACCGATACAGAAGCAATAAACTAGGTGACCGTAAAGCTAAGACAAGTGCTACTAAGTGGCATTCTGAGCCCTATGGCTTTGAAATAATTGGGAGTGAGAGAACAAAAATGAAACACAAAAAAAAAAGAAAAAGAAAAACAAGCCTATTTTTCTTACACTGATGCCCTGCGGACTATACATCTGACTTGCTGCGAGCCCGTCATTGTATCCTCCTGTCTGGCTGATAACATGGCGAAGGGTATCCACCTAAACAGACCAACAACAACAAAAAAGAGAAAATTAGAGACAGAGAGAGATTATTAGGCAAAGCCACTCTGGTTTGTATTTCGGCATGTTATCAAAAAACCAAACATCGCGATCATTTGCAGGGCGGCTTTTGGGACGGAAGATGGAGGACGTCCTCCTCCCGCCCCCCTGCCCCCGGCATTGTCACTCTCGGTTGTCAGTTCTGAGCATCGCAACAAAGACAGTGGGGAGGAAAGAAAACTCAAGGGGGGCGGTCAGTTCCTTGCTGCAGCTAACTCAGTGATTATGCACAGGAAGGAAACTCTAGCTGCCCTGCCCTCTTTCTGCCCCTCCATGCTGCAACCCACTGGGATGCCCATGTCAACCGAAGAGACGCAAAGTCTAGGTGAGCGTCGTTCATGTGACTCCTTTGCTTGTTTCCGGAGGGCACGGAATGTGTGTAAACTTACCATGGCAACAGATCACCATCCCTCCCCCACCTTGCCTTGCTGCTCCCCTCCCCCAATTACCATCCCAAGCCACAAGCTGGCTGATGCCCGTCAATGACACCTTGCTCTGCATCCAGGGTGACAACAGGGATGATTAGAAATTCTCTTTGCCAACATGGAAATGTTTGAGTGGGTGTCACCTCCCGCCAGCTGCAAAGCCCTGACTGCCTACTGGACCCATGGAGTTGTTGGGGGTGGATGGGAAGCGAGAAGTCTATAGAAAACGTTATGTGCATCTAAGATAATTAGCGGGCATGACCCTCTGTTGTCCAAAGCTGTTGACGCTCCTGAAATGATGCCCAAAGCCCTTCCCTGTCTCATCGGACTCGAGAGGGGCTGCATGGCTGCCTAAGCCTGCGCTGTTGGTTGTTAATTAAAACAGGGTGTATTTGTACATTTCAGCATTGCTCTCCTTTCAGCAGACACCGAGCTTCAGCATCAAACGAACGAGTGGAAGCCTTGCAAATGAGACGCCAGTACGAACATCTGGTCCCGTCCCTTGAAAAATAAAGCAAGCGAGCTAGACCTTGGCTAATTTCATTTGAGCACACGCCTGTTCTTTTAAACCTCTCCTAACGCAAACTAACAAGCCAGAGCCAAATGCATTCACAAAGTGTGGGCAAGATTCCCCAAGACAATGGTTTTTTTTGGTTTGGTGGGGGTCGGGAGGTTTTTCCTGTTGGTTTGTCTGATTGGTTTGTTTGCACCATTTAAGATTTCTCTTTTGGGACCGGAGTGGGAAATGCCAATACAATCAAGGGCTCTTCCAACACTAACGCATTCACTGGCAGCACATCGGATGGGTCCCTACCTGTGACTGCACGTTGGCTCCAACCTGGGCCCCTTGGTAAGAATCCCCATTGAGTGACTGCACGCTCATGAACAAATCTCCAGAGTTTGACATGTTAAAAGAACTGGAAGAACCTGGAAAGGAAAGAGTGAGGCACCTGAATCATAGAAAGGAAAAGGATCCACCCCGCAACTCTCAGCCAAGAGGAAGGAACGACATGCAAAGCAACCCCAAAACGAAAACAAAACACACAGTAGGTTAGTAGTATGAAGAACAGAGCAAGCAAAAAAAAAAAAAAAAAAAAAGGGTGCAAACTTGAGGTTATACAAAGCCACATATTATTACATCTCAACATAAGGCTTGTCCTTTAACAGCTTCCCAACTGGGGGGGCAGGAGGTGGATATTTTCAAAACCCAGCCTAGGGGACTGGGATGCCCAATTCCCATTCATCTGAGCACATCCAAATCCTTTAGGCAGTTTTGTGCAGCTTAGCGCATAAAGGGCAGATTCTTTACAGGCCTCTGGGACAGAACTCCCATAAATGTTCATAGAAGGTCTGCTGATGAGCCGAGTGTGGAATGTGCTTTCGAGGAGGTTAGGTTATAAAAGAAGGTGTGCTGCTCCCTCCATGATAAATCCATTACTGGACAACTTCATCAGGTGGGGCTAGCAGCCATCTATGAGCTAAGGTTCACTAGGACAGGAAGGCATCGCATAGCCTTCTCTTAACATCCTTTGGCATCCCACACTTCCATTCTGGCAGATTATAGTCATTGGTTAGGCAACACAAGCACCCACGATGGACCATCAGAGGATCTCCTACCCCTTTCCATGCCAGCTGCCTAGCAACAGTGAACTCTGCAAGCAAATTACAGACCAGGGATCCCTCCGCATGCACTAGTCGCCACTGCTAATAATAGAGACAACTGGGTGGGCCAGAAAAATGTCTTTGCAGAAACAAGGTTTTCTGCTTCCAGCTCTGAGGCACCTGACCACCTCCCCTGCCCACTGACCAGAGGAAACAAAACCATTGCACAACCGGAACGCGTGGAAAAAAATGGTTTCCCGGGATTATTTTGAAACTCTCGTGCAGCTCAGCGCATTAAGTGTGAGAAAGCTCAACGTGCAAGGTTGGGTTATAAACATGACGTTCGCTGGCAAGGGGGAGACTTCAGGGGCCCAGGTCAGCTCCACTGCACTGATCCAACCCCAAGCTGCTCAAATTTCAATCCCCACCCCCTGCAAACCCAGATCGGCAACCATCGTCTTGGCGGACTTGCCCAGCAGTGAGTCATGCGTAAGCTCTGAAACAAATCGACAGCGCAGGTCCCTCCTCCTGTCATGGAGAGGGAGTGAATAATCTCGCCCAGGGAGGCTCTTCTGACGGAGCCTGCTTCCGAGAAGGGGACAGGAAGTCAATTGGTGAGAATTTGGCCTATGCAACTGTTAGCTCTTGGAGTGTCTCTTCACAAGGGCCTCCCATATGTGACTGTAGAAGGTCTCAAAATTAAGGGGAGCCGGGAAGATCACTCGGCTATAAAAGCCTGACCTAAAGCCCACTGTAGCCAACAGAAAGACTCTCCTTGACATCAGTGGATCAGACCCTAAATGTGCTTGGAAAGAACACAACCAGTAAAGGCTACAGCGGCCGTATTGCTGCGAAACACTGCCCAGTATGTTGCAGAGAATAATCCAAGAATAAGAAACAATAGGAACAACTCAGCAGATAGCAATACTGAAACCTCCACATCTCTTGCTTAGCAGGCAAAGAACTTCCATTTCCTTTCTGCACCCAGGGTTATTATTTGAAAGGTAAAAGTATATGATAACAGTATTACTTTGCATTCATATCATATCTTTCCTCTGAGAATCGCCAAGCACTTTGCCAACCTCAATGAATTTAGCCCCACACATGGTAGGAGAGAATTGTTATTTCCCCTTTAACAGCTGGCACAGAGAGGTGAAATGATGTTCTCAAGGGCACTCAGCAAGTAAGTGGCAGAGACGGGAGCAGAACCCAAGATTCCGCTGCTGCTCCCTGCGCTAACCACTACACAACACTCCCTCCCCAAGTGGCAAGGGATTATTCTATCTCCACCAGGGCAACTATTTTATTCCACCCCCCCACCCCCACCGCAGGTTTAAAATAAATCAATCAATAAATACAACATACACCTCACTGATATTTGATTGAAAGTTAACAAACCAGACAGTAGAGTGGAGAAAAATAAAATAAACAGCCGCAAACTCTAATTCTGAATAGCGGCAGTGTCTTGGCAATCATAAGGGCGCGCGAGAGGCCATTTGGAAGATATACACTGCTACTGGCACAGAGTCTTACAATAGATGTGCCTACATAAATGTTAAATATGTCTTGCTCCTGATGGAGATGCAACCATAAATATGCGCATACCAAATGTGCTGCATGTACGGATGCATTTGCATCAGAGCAGTAATTGCCGAGATAGCCCTTTCCGCTGTCGGTAGTGCTGTTTCAGCATTCTGCTGTCTATGTACAAGCCATGTGTGAAAATGATGAGGGCCTAGAGTCTCGGAGAAGCAGCTGAGAGAGGCTAATACACTGGTGTGGGAGAGGGGGAAAGAGGTGCCATCAGAATGAAGACTCCAGTGGCATCCATGAGGTTAGGAGGTACTCTCTAAATGCACCAATCAGAAGAGGCTCCATCACAGATCTAATCTGTCACTCTAAAGGTCCCATGTTATGGGAGTCAAGCTTTTGAAGGGTCACTGCAGCCTGATCTGGGACCCCACAAGAGCTGATATGTAACAACGGACATTTAGCTTGTAAGTTCTTTGGGGCAGGGTTCTTTGCTTTGATACATGTTCATACAGAGCCTAGCACAAAGAGTCCCTGAGCCCTGCATGGGATTCTTGGGTGCTATCATAATACAAACCATAACAATAATTAACAGGAAAAGCACCTGTAACAGCTGCTGCTGTTTAGCATCTGTGCTTTATCAGATGATAACCCAAGACCTTTGCACCACTCGTCCCTTAGCTGGCTTCCCATCAGTAACTTCCCAGTTCCATTCTCTTCATTGGCTTCCCATCCATCCTCTCTTCTTCCACTGGCTTATTTCCCACAATGACTGAAGTGTGTGGTGGGGGTTATGGTCACCGTTCACACATCCTTGAAGAGTGCCACCTCCAAGGAGGATGACGAACTGTGATCTGAGGAGGTACCACTAGTTGCAATGGGAGGAAAATAAATATTAAATTTGGGGTGAAGGTTGGACCGTGACAGGGCTTCAGTGTCCCATAGAAAGTGACGGAAGCTTAGACACTTGGTCCATTTAAAACCAGTCGGTTCAAGGCACTGGGGAACATGCTGTAGAGGAAAGCCTGTATGGGCCAAGGTGAGAGTAACTCATCGTGGCAAATCCCAAAGGGACATAGCCTCCTTGTAGATCGCATGCCACCTGGATCAATCGTGCAGGAATAGCCCTTTTGCAAGGTTTCATTTAGTCATTTTTGCCTTTGTGGCAGAGAAACTGTTGCCCGTTTCAGGTACAAGGGCAACTGACCAGGTTGTTGTCGGTGGTAGGTTTCAGCATCAACTTGAATGCACTGACCCCAGAGGGGAGATTAACTAGATATGTCTAAACAGGTCTTTTCCACCTCTAATTCCGGTGATCTCCACATCCAATTCCCAATTGCTCCCTAATATTCAAACGTCTTCATGACTTGCTCATTGCCAATCCTTTTCCCTCATTTCCACTTGCTTCAACTTCCTTGCTGTCCCACCTCTCTATTCCCAACTGCCCCTCAACACGCCTCAATCCCACCTTGAATCCTGCATTTCATAGGAACATAAGAACGGTCATACTGAGTCAGACCAAAGGTCCATCTAGCCCAATATCCTGTCTTCCAACAGTGGCCAATGCCAGGTGCTTCAGAGGGAATCAACAGAACAGGTAATCATCAAGTGTTGCCCATTCCCAGGTTCTGGCAAACAGAGGCTAGGGACACCATCTCTGCTCATCCTGTCTAATAGCTATTGATGGACCTATCCTCCATGAACTTATCTGACTCTTTTTTTTAACCATATTATAATCTTGGCCTTCACAACATCCACTGGCAAAGAGTTCCACAGGTTGACTGTGTGTTGTGTGAAGAAATACTTCCTTTCCTCTTACTAGTCTCTCTCAGTGAAGTGCCTGGTGATGCTGCGTTCAAAGGGCATTACAAACAAGGGTATGTTGTACAAATTAGGGTGACCAGACGTCCTGATAAAATCGGGACTGTCCCGATATTTAGGCGTTTGTCCTGCATGCCGACCACCTTTTTTTTTTTTGCTCCACCAGCGGCACTCCCGATATATACCATGAAACACTCCGGACACCAATAATGTGATGGGCTTTTATCACACTGAGCCCATCTAAGTCATCACTGCCCAGATGAAACCTGGGGCCAGTAATTCTGCCTGCAGCCACACATGTGTGACTGCCGTTTAAAGTTAACGGGAGCTGCCTGTCTCTGTTGACGAGTGGAATTTGGCACCAGACATGCAAAATACTTTTCTCAGCATTTCTACCACCATCTAAAATGATGGAAGAACCCGTCCTAGGCTGGTGACTTCAGTGGAAGTCTGACAATTGACATCTCACTTATTTGGCCTCATTGTTTTTTGGCTTCCTTTTTGCACTTCACATGGACAGTGAAACTTGCAATTATTTACCCAGTGCTGCAAGTGCAAAGGGCACCTGAACGTCCGATGATACAGCTCCCATGCTGAAGAGCTTACTCTGGATTTCCACCTAATGTGACCAAAAGCTATCACAAAGGACAGAGGAAGGCAGAGGTAACAGAAGACAAGAGGCTCAGCAGCAATCAGATAAGGCAGAAGGCTTGTTGGCTTTTCAGGCTTGTTACAGACAAAGCGGGTGTTGGTTTCCCAATGGTGCAGTCCCCTCAAAGAGCAACATAAAAAGGGATCAGGGGCTCTGCAGCTGGTTTTCATCTGGACACCGCACTGACAAGGTGGGTGCAGGGTGTTGTTTGTCAGAAGTTCGTCAGCTTCACTTGAGCTGCGCTGCTCAGCGCTTCTGAGCCCAGAGAGCACAGCCTGCATGCCCTGGGAGGGGGCCAGATGGCTGAGGGTGGGGCATAAGC